TCCTGCTGATACAGAGCTTGATCCAAACCCCATTGGAGTTACTGGGGATCATCCCATTGATTTCCCATAATTTCTAAAACCCAGTACATAGGAAAGGATCTACACAGATTTCCTAAACAGGTGTGTCATGGTGACAGAAAGTGGGATATTTCCCACTTGAATAGTGAGTATCTGATACAAATGTGGAGTGCAAGAAGCCCAGGGAGCTTCTGTGGGAGAGGAGATTGAGCCCACCAATCTGAAAGATATAGGAAAAGGATAAAACCATTTAAATTCAAAACTTACCTCACTGTAAATTGATGTAATCTGTTGAAGAAAGTCCTCTAAAATCAATTCAATATCTGTATTTTACACCATCGCGGTAGAGTAAACATTGATTTGTGACTTTTCGGAAAATCATGGTTTTGTTCTTTTGCATTCCCTTTGGGAGGGCAAAATGAGCATTGTGCTCAAATTCTGCAGTTGCTCTGGATTGCAAAATTCCCAGTGAAATGAATACATCCTGTGTGTGCATAAAGCAGCCTGCCTGGGCAAATCTCTGATGAACTGTGTACGTTCCTGTTGACATTGCTGATGTGAGTGCCCAGAGCAGGAAGTGACTATGAAAGCAGATTAATGCCTTCTCATTTTAAGACACAGAGAGAAGTGGGGAAATCTGTGCAAAATGGGTTCAAAAGGAATTACTCCAGATTGAAAGGAATCTGCCTGCCATGAGTGCTTATTGGATGCAAGATTAGGACTTCTGTTTTTATTTGGGGACTCATCCTGCAAGTGCGACTACACATTTTCTTTGGCACATTGTCTATTCCTGTTTCAAATGGGGCTACTAGGATAAATTTAAGAACCTGGATAAATCCTAACAGGATTGGAGCCTTTATTTGTTTTCTTATTACTTTTAATTTTTCAAGTTAAAAACATCCTGTGTTGAAATGTTGGTACACTAATCCAACAGACTTAAAATGGCTTCCTGATAGGCTTTTCAAAAATGTTGATTGCATAAATGTTTATTTACTAACATTTCAAAATGCTTTCATTGTTGTTTATTAGGTAAATGCCTAACTGAATTGCTAAAAAACAAACAAAACCCCACTCTGATTTGCCTCATCTAACACAGAGTCTGCCAGATCCTGTGACTCCTGCTCCTATGAGAAACCCTGGCATTTGCTAGTAGTCCCAGTGCCAGTAATACCATGAGTAAGGACTAAAGATTCAGGCCCACAGTTTATTACATAAATATATAGGGAGAGAACATAAAAAAGTCTATTATATAAGTTAATATGCACAGCTTCTTGTATGTCAAGAGTGTTGTCTCATGATTAAGCAAAATGTGGAAATCATGTAATGAGCTGATCTCTGCTGGCAACTAAAATACAAACGATCTGACCTCCTTATCCATTAAGATGCACTCAGCAACTGTTATGTATTGATTTATTATAAATTAATTTTTTCACTTTTTAATTGCATTTGAAAACTAGTAGTCAGTGCGCTCCCATAAAGTACAAGAATGTCCTGATGATAATTTCTTTTTCCTGTGGCTATTCATTGAAAGATATATTTTTCCTTTCTATGTGCAGCACTAGGCATTTGGTATTTTCCCTGTCCGAAGGTTCTGAGTGCACATTATTCAATTACAAGAAGAGTTGTGCTACTATAAATGATATATATTGTACATATATACTGTAATTTTCTTTAACTATTGCAGTGAGAGCAATGGAATTTTAATCGCCATGACTTACATTCCAATTGAAAATACTGTAAGTTCAGCATTAGTGGGGTTAGCATTAGGTTTCATCCTTACAGTACTTAAAGACTATCTAAAAGCTAAATATAATCAAGTAGGATATTTTTTATGTGAGGGAATATCTTTGTTCCAGGACAGGGATGGGGAGAAAGCCCTACAGAAATATGTAAAACACATGCTTACTGTGAATCACACAAGCTTTAGTTGTCATGGATGATGATGACGATGAATCCTGTCTCCTTGATCTGATTGGGTAAGTTCCCCCCTTAAAAAATTCTAAAAGAAAAATTATGCAAAAATCATTATAAAAATAATCCATATAAAAGATTAATTACCAGTAGTCTTTGAAAGTTGATGTCTTGAGAGAGTTTGGAGCCCTATAAGTGGAGTGAACAGACAGCATAACTTCTGATTGCACCTAATTGGTAGTCCACTTGTTTTTGGCATGACACTGAATACTCTCTTGCCCAATAATGTTCCTGTCAAATCACTTTTCAGGCACATTGACAAATAGGGCAGCCTACTCTACGTTTTTAATGCGAGGGAAATACAGTGAAGGCTTTGTTATCTGGCACAAATAGGGCATGGGGTGGCCGCTTAATTGAATGTGCTGGATTACAAAGCATCTGGAGGACAGACATACAGACACACAAACAGATAAACTCTGGAATATATAGTAGATAGTAAGAATATTAAGTAGCAGTTAATTGGCTAATGTTAAGTAGCAGTTAATTCCATCGACTACTCAATCAGTCAATAAGGAAGGGCGGCGTCAGCGCTCACTCCCTGCTCTTGCTGGGTCTCAGTACAACCTCCCACTGCCACTCTGCATTTTTAAAGGGAAGCTGTCAGGAGAGGGCACTGGCTGATTCCCTGGTCCCAGGTCTCAGTACTCATGCTGGCTTCCCTTGAAAAATTCAGAGTGGCAGTGAGCGGGTGGTGTTTGTGCTGAGACCCGAGAACAGAGATTCAACCAGCATCCTCTCCTTCTGACTTCCCTTTAAAATGCCGGGGGTGGGGGGAGGGGGAGAGAATAAGCAAGTGTTGATTGTGCTATCTGATAAGCTCCTGCTTATTGTGTAGTCAACTAGTTGACTACTCCTTTACATCCTTATTAGATAGCTATCCCTTTCGCCAGCCTACCCACTGCTGGCCCAGTGTGGTTATAGCTATCCTGGACTCCATTTATGGTCCTTGCTGCCCCCTTTATGGTCCTTGCTGCCCCATTTATGGTCCTTGCTGCTCATTAAACAGTATAATCATCTCTGCTAGCAGATGCCTCCTTTCTGTTTTATGAGAAACAATCACATTCCAGGCACATTGTATTGTCCTGGCATAACCAAACCCTTACCTTGCTTTAGGTTATGATATGAGGAAGCCACAAACGTGTTGGTCCTAGCTCTGCCATTTAGGAGTTCTTGAACAAACAGACTCACAGACATACTCTCTCAAATATATAGTAGAAGATAATTACAAAGCAATCCCTGTAATTTTAAGTCACATATTTCTGTGCGTACATTGAGAGTTTTTACCACCAGAGTTGCATTACGTGAATGTGTACTTTAATACACTTGAACTCAGAATACTTAATTCATCTAACTACACTTCTTTTTTTAAAATTTTATATCAATATTTTGTTCAATGAATGAGTATCAAGTTATCAAAGAAAAAACGTTTTGGAAGGGTAGCTGTGAAAATCTGTAACTTTAAAACCAATGAGCAGTCTTGTGGCACCTTAGTGACTAAGAATATGTCTACACTTGCACCCTCTTTTGATAGAGGGATGCAAATGAAGACATTTGAAATTGCAAATGAAGCCGGGATTTAAATATCCTGAACTTCATTTGCATATTTGCGTTATGACGCTATTTTGAAATAGCGCTATTTCGAAATAACAGATGCTGTTAAGATGTGGCTCTTTCGAGAGAAAACCCTTCTCTCGAAATAACTAGTAAACCTCATTGTATGAGGAATAAGGGTTATTTCGAGAGAAGGGTTTTCTCTCGAAATAGCCGCGTCTCAATAGCGTCTGTTATTTTGAAATAGCGTTATTTCGAAATAGCGCCATAATGCAAACATGCAAATGAAGCGCGGGATATTTAAATCCTGGCTTCATTTGCCATTTCGAATGTCTTCATTTGCATCCCTCTCTTGAAGGTGGGCGCAAGTGTAAACGTAACCTTTCCCCACACCATCTCAACATCGCTGAAGATCTGGACCAGAACTGATCCCACAGCAGACCCCATCTCTGCGGAACCCCACTTGTTCTGAACCGTGAATAACCTACCCCATTGTCACTGGCGTCCAAGCACCAGAAGCGTCTTGGTGAAAACCGACACAAAGTCGTTAAGCACCTCTGCCAGCTCCACATTTTCTGTCACCGTTTTTCCTTCTTCCCTGAGCCGTGGGCCTACCTTGTCTGTGGTCTTCCTCTTGTTTCTAATGTCTTTTTAGGTGACCCTCAATGTTACCTTTTATGTTTCTAGCTCGGGGTGGGCCTCCCCCAGCATTGGGGCGCCTACACGCCAGACCACCCCCACCACCGCTGTCTCCCCGCAGCCCCAGATCCCTGACTGATGTTTTGTGGGTCAGTGGCTCCCGACCTGAAAAGAGTTCCCCACCCCTGAAGCCACTGTCTTTATTTTGCTGTTCTCCCTCCTACCGTTCCCGAGAGTCAGGAACTCTGGCAAATCAGGAAGCTGACGGGGGGTCCGGCGGCTGTTCCTACCTCAGTTGCTCCTGCAGACTCTGGCTCGCTTGTCTCCGTGCCTCCACCTCCTGCTCCAGCTGCAGGGACTGTTGCCACAGGGAGCTAACTTCAGCCCCATGGGCCTGGTGGAGACGGGAGAGCTGGGGGGACAGAAGGGACCTGGCTGGGAAGAGAACCCAGGAGTCCTGGCTCCCCCGCCAGCTCTAACCACTAGTCCCAACTCCCATTCCAGAGCTAGGGATGGAACCCAGGAGTCCGTCCCCCCCCACTCACCTCAGCCTTGTGCTCACCCAGCACCTCCTGCATGTGCTCTGCCGCCTGCTGGCTCAGGGCTTCCCTTTTCTCCAGCGCCGCCCACAGTTCCCCCTGCACCGCCGCCAACTCCTGCCGGTGCCGCTCCACGGCCATCTCTAGCTCCGCCCTCAGGGCGTCAGCTTCCGCTTGGCCACTCCTCTTCTGCTCCTCCAGCTCCGCCTTCAGGGCAGCGGCTTCTGCCTGGCCACGCCTCTTCTGCTCCTCTAGCTCCGCCTTCAGGGCAGCAGCTTCTGCCTGGCCACGCCTCTTCTGCTCCTCTAGCTCCGCCTTCAGGGCAGCAGCTTCTGCCTGGCCACGCCTCTTCTGCTCCTCTAGCTCCGCCTTCAGGGCAGCAGCTTCTGCCTGGCCACGCCTCTTCTGCTCCTCTAGCTCCACCCTCAGGGCCTCGCCCTCGGCCTGGCTCCTCCCCCTCAGCTGCTCCAGCTCCCCCTGCAGGCAGGCCAAGGTGCTCTCCCTCGCGGCTGCTGTGGCTTCCTGCTGGAGGGCGGTGGCCCGGAGTCCGGTTAGCTCCGCCTCTAGACGCCGGATCTCCTGGAGCTGGTGGGAAATGAGCTCGGCCTGCTGGGAGATGGCCAGGGCGTGACGGGCAGCTGGAGGCTCTGCCTCCCGGTCCAGCGACCTGTGGGGAGGGCGACATGAAAGTGGGGCTTGGCTGTGGGGAAGTGGGGATGGAGGCCTTTTACCTGGTCCTGGCTCCAGGCTCCTCCCTCTCCCCTGCTGCCTTGCCCCTGGGCGCCCTGGCGCCCCCCGCTGTCCATCTTTGCAACGCATCTCGCAGGCACTGGTTCTCCTGTCTCAGCGCTGTGAGCTCCTGGGGCTGCCAGCTGGGGGGCTCAGCCGTCCAGGGCGCCGGTCCAGTAGCGGCCAGGGGGGGCGCCGACCGGCTCTGGAAGTGCGAGGGAGGGATCAGCCCCCTGGGACCTACGGGAGACATGACAGTGAATGGGAGGCAGGCACCCAGAATGGCGATGCATGGGGCTCCTCCCTAGAGGGATGGGGAGGGGGAACGGGAGCCGGGCATCTGGAGTGGCAG